TGTTTGCAGCTATGCAACTTAAAGGTGCTAAAATGTACATGGAGGTGTGATTTGCTCAGACCATCTTTCAAACCATCTGTGGTTGCAGTGAAGCATTTAGACTCTTGGCCTCTTTTGCCTTTTCTGAATGTGTATTTCAAATACTAAATATGTATGTACTCTATATAACTATAGAAATATAGTTTTTTTAAATTCATTTGTTTTTTGTCCGCATTCAAATTATTATAAATGTTTGTAGGATTTTTAAAAATTTTACAGTTTTGGAGAGTTGGAAAGTCTTAAGTCTGATGTTGCAGCAGTCAAAATAATTAAATTCAGGTATTTTTTTAACTTTATTGCATATTAAAGGTTCAGTGTGTAAGATTTAGTGGCATCTAGTGGTGAGGGTTGTGAATTGCAACCATCTGTCCAGTCTGCCACTGCCCCCTAACCTTTCAAAGAACATAGGACAGCTACGATGGCTGACAACAGCACAAAAGGTGTCTCTTTTGAGACAGCAGAGAGTGACCAGGTATATTTATTATGACATTATATTTACTTAATTATTCAGTAAAGCCATATGTTATTGTGATTTGGCCACTGACAGATAACATGGAAAATGCAAGCCAAGAGTGTGAAACACTGTCACTGTTTATGCACCACAGTCTATTATAAACCACACATTAGATAAAGTTTGTATAAAAATTGACAAGGGAAACATTCATTCTCTCTGATTATGTATTCTCGCCAAAACTGCCCGCCAACAGTAATATCTGGCCCGCGGCCAGATTACGGTGCTTTGATAGTGGCAAAAAATATAAATAAATAAACACTTTGATAGCGGTGCTGAAATAGATCTCTGTCATGACAGAAACACTCACATAATCACTTCCTCTTTAGTGCTTTTGCCTACAAAAGAAAAGCATGAGAAGCTTGTTTACTGCAATGCAGTATTTGAGTTGAACTGAGCTTTTACTTTGAAACATTATGAACAACATTAAAAGAGTCTGTAGTCTGCCTGACACACCTCTGAAAGACCCGTCAGAAAACATCCATCGTCAACCGCTTATCTTACATTGCATTTCTGTTGATAGATCCTCAGAAATATTACACAATGAACCTTTAATAAATCAATGTACTCTTAAAAATAGTCAGTTTTAGTTGTGGCTTGGCAGTCGCGTTCCATCGTGTAAACAGTGTAGCAGTCCATATGTATTTGCTGCTATTTTTAAATTATTAGTTTGGCCAAATCTCTACATTTGGTTCTTGATTAGGGGATCTTTCAGGGCACCTGTTGCACAAGGTGTGGGGACTGACACCTGCTAGCTCTTTTAAGCATTCTGAGTCCTAAGCTATGTCTGCAGAACTCACAAGAATCAGTTTAATTTGTCTTTGCAGATATAATTGTAGCTAATTATATCAGGACAAGTTTTGTTTTATGACGAGAATATCTTAAACAGAAAGCCAGCTTCAGGTGGCGGACATCGTCTTCTCATGCTAGGACAACATCCGGACTAGAAAAAAAAGCAGAATGTACCCAGCCCGGTGAGCACATGGTGCAACATCTGATCTGTATGCCATATAAGCTTAATATTTCATGTAACTTTATTCAACTTCACTCAATATTTCAGGGAATTCCAGCTAACAGTCAGCTTAGCTGCTCCATTCATGTTATCAAAAGAAAATGGGAAGTGGAGCTGAATAACATAGTGGACAATGATGGGAAACATATGCTCTAGATGTCTCAGGGGGGTTGGGAGGGAGCCAGCTATGGAAATAATTTGATTGAAAAGATAAAGTGAGATTCTTTAGGACCCTGCTGAGAGCTTGAAATGAAGAAATTGTGGTATGGTCCTGTGTTATGGTCCCTCATATTTTGGGAGAAAATACAATTTGAAAAAAAACATCAGAACAGAAATGGACATCCCCCTGCTCACTATTGTTCTTATTGGAAGTATCATCTGAACACCAGAAAGGTGTTGGTTTAAATGGTCTGTATTTGTTTTGCGCCTTTCTAGTCTTGCGACCACTAAAGGCTCTTTTACACTACAGCACATTTACCCATTCACACACATTCATACACTCAGCCAAAGTGCTCAGAACAGAAACTAACGTTCACACAGATTCATACACTCTATGTCCACTCTAAACGAAAGGTCTAGAGTACTTTTTCGCTTCCAATCGTAGACCGAAGAGGCAGCAAAAGGGATCTCAGCAGGTCCCAAAGGACAGAGCTACAGGCTGACATTGTCTATATGGCTGTCATTTTGGGACAGACGCAGTCGATAATTGGCACCGTTAGCTGTATGTTAAGTAGGTAGCTATGTTTGCTAGCGATGGAAGTAACTATTAACATCAAAATGATAAAAGCCAGATTATCTGTCCAGCAGAAATAAAGCCCCTTGGTGTTCCTCAGTTGTCACTATCGTTGAAATGCCACGCAGACATTACCCTCCGGTCTGACCGCTTCGCTCCTCAAGTCTGAGAGCTGACCGGTGCGCCCATGTGGGCAGCTCCTGTAGCAGCAGGGCTGGTAGCCAAGGCAGCGAGGATAAGTGACAGTCAGCCAGCCAATCATTGCATTTGGTCCAAATGCAATGATTGGCTGTGTTTACTGCAGCCCTGAGAGGACTACAGACAGCCGCTTTTTATATGTATTGGTGTATAAAGACAGTTTCAACAAATATGACAAAAAGTGTTTTAGAAGCAACTTGCCTACCCTGCCTTTAAAAGGATCAGAGACTATGAAAAGACTCTCAGAACTCAAACACACAGATGTAACCCAGTCCACGCATGTCAGACAATCAATGCACACACATTAAAAAATCTTAATAAATGCAAATACATTTTTGGCATTTATGTGCACAGACATAGCTTTCCAAAAGCAAATGTTATTGAATGTCTGAAATCAAAGTAGAAAATATATATGTAAATACTGATATTCATTCAAGTCAAATGTATTTATTTGTAAATTGTTTCACATTCGTTGGTTGGTTTGTGGATTGGAAAAAAGACAAATTATTTACAAGACATCATTCACATTTGTAATTCTTGTTTTTATTTTGGTTATGAGACACGCATTTCCCTCCATACCTTTCTGCCAGGCAAAAATCTTGTAGTATTACATAGAAGATATCTCTTGGAAGTACCTAGAAGCACATGCATTTATTTGATGACATGAAGAAATGTTATCTTGTTCGGGGCTAATGTAGTGTTAGCTGGCTGCTCGTGGCTGCATTATAATAGGATAGTAAACAAATCACTCCACATTAGCTTTTTACCATTAAATCATTTCTTGCAGGCTTTGACACTTTGACATAACAGTGGTACAGAGCAAAGTAACATGGGTTGCATTTGTTGGTGAAGTATTGTGAAAGCAATATAACTTTGCACCAGACAACATTAGCAACTGCTCGGCGTTAGCCGGCGAGCTAACGTGACTTTCTCTGTGTTTCTCCAACTTTACTAATGCTCACTTTGTTCTAACTCAGCATCATCTGAACCTGTTTGGTCTGATGGGCTTTAGCACATAAACCTTTATTGTTGTTTTGTATCCTTGCGTGGAGCCTGTGTTTTATGGTATTAGAGGACTGCATGTCGTTAACTGCGGTGTTGTCACTGTAGTACAAAAGAGGCTCGGGAACGCACACAGGGCTGAATCGGACCCGGAGACCTCACATTAAAAGCAGAATAGTGGCTGATACAAGCAACAGAGAAAACAGGAGTGTGCTTAATTTCTAAGTGAGTTTTGAGCCCACTGACAATAAGGCAATGAAAATTTGATTTATTAAAGTCAAAAACTTGCAGATAGCCCCTTTAATGATCACCCTTCCCTGCGATGCTCACGTTGATTTCAGCTCTTAGTGTTTGTATGTGGGTGTTTTAATGGGAATGTGGATCTTTCAGATCAATTTGTGAAATACCTATGATATTGTTACACATTTTATTGCGTTTGCTTCCTAAGTGGACAGTTTGATGACAGGAGTGTGATTGACTTGAAGTTACATTGTGTTGTTTAAGTGTTCCCTTTATTTTTTTGAGAAGTGTAGTATGCTGCTCTGACATATACAGGAGCGTGTGATTAGGACTTGGTGAAGCGATGCAGAGTGCATGATGGCCCAGCAGATGGCAATCAAAGACTGACATGGAGCTCGAAAACAAACTGTATGATCACATTGTAACCAGCAATATAAATCTAAGTTAGTTTAACACATAATATGGAGGATGGATCCTTGTCTGTTTTGTTTGTTTTATAATCAAAGATATTGTTCTACAGAATTTCACTTTGCTGCAGGCTGACCTCTGGCCTGACTGTGTTTGGTATTTCCTAACACTGACCTATGATCACTGCAGTCCGGGAAATCATTTTGAAATCTGGACTCTAAACAAATATTCTGAGTGCTATTCTGTGATAACAAACATGCAACATTTCATGCTATGTTACAAACGCACAGACTAACATTTTAAAACTAAATGCACCAAATCTACCAAATGTATCATGTTTGATCAGCAAAGTTACAACTGTCACAATCCTGACCGGGTAATCAGATTGAGGTGTTTGTGTTTAGTATGCTTACATGGTTTGTAAGATAATATCACAATATGGAGATAATATAATTATAAAATTCTAAATCATTATGACTATTACTACTTTCTTATAATTAAGAGAAAATCTGTATTTAAAAAATTAAGTATTAGTATAAATATCACTTTATAATGTCACAACTCTGACTTACTATCACATACTTATAAGAAGTTTGTTGTTGTTATACATTCATGCCAATAAAGCTGATTTGAATTGAAGAGGTGTTCTCATCAGTTTAAGTCATATTATGAGACATAAAATAACCAATATGTTGATTTTTATTTTATTTTAGAAGTACTGGTCTTCCATATTGTATCCCACATGTATCTCTGAGGTAAAAAAAAGTCCCCCTATGTGTATATGTTTGTAATATACATATGCTTGCTGCATTGTTGTTGTCTTCAGAGCAACAGTGTGATGTCAAAGTCAACACAGAGTGCTTACCCCACATTTCCTTTGGGTAAATTCCCTCAACAATGATTAACTGGTTCTGATTTGATCTGGGCTCTTCGCTTGCTTCGATTTCAATTCCTGGCAAAATGTGCGTGAGATATGTTGGATTTGTTCTTCTGGTTTGGTTTCCAGGAGTGCTACATGGTAAAAACATAAAATTTAATTCATTTAATTTAATGTCATTTTAATTTGTAAAAAAAACAAAACATCTCTGTATTTTGCTCTCTTTCTTATCACTGTTTCAGGACAGTCGTGTGATGCTCCCAGCCTGAGTGGTGGTTATATTGTCCCTGAACAAGAAAAGTATTCTCATGAAACCGAGCTCACTTATGCCTGCAGTCCCGGATATAAACCAGCAGTAGAGGGATGGTGGGCAAAAAGCACATGTCAAAATGGCAAATGGTCTCATAAACCACAATGTATAGGTAAGTGTTCTGTAATAGCTTCACTGGTCTGTTTAAAGGAGCCGTGTTTTTCAGCTTAAACTGTATGTCAGCTTTCATGTTTTATGTTTATGTTAATGTTTCTTTTATACTCCTTGGAAACTCTGTATTATTAATTATATTTATTTAATCTTTAAAAACTGCAACAGAATTAAGTCATCGATCTGTCACTGCATGACATGGTAGAGTATATTATCTACCTAAATGTTATTACATGTCTGAATGATACTTTTCAATGTTAAACTTCAAACAATATTTATATTTATACTTAATAGTTCAACTGCTATATCCACTGATGGTAATGAGAATTAAATGAAATTTCAACTTTTTTTGCATTAACTAAAATAGTTAGTTGTAAATAGTTATTTGCGCTACCACATAGAATGTAATAGCCTAGAACATACATAACATATTAGATGTTTATGAAATGTCTTCATTTTAGCAAGAGTTATATTGTTGATGTCAACTTTTTCCTTGGTGTGATCAGAGGACAGACTGCTGTGTCATCTTGCTCCTAACTCAATAGAAACTCAAATATTGTCATATTTACAAACATCTTTGGAGCTGTCAGAGTCATTGGTAGCCCTGCCTACATTCAGTTGGTTAGAAGACGGGACTTTCCAGGATGCTCAGTGATCTGGGCTAAGCTAACGTTAAGGGAGCGTATTTATGTTCCCAGTGTTCTATGTTCCCCAGCTTAGTATCCTCTTAAAATCTGTGTGCTTGCCCCTATTTCCAGGAAAAACACCTAAAATAACATACCCAAAATGAATCAGGAACTCCTCAACCATTTGGCCTAGATGCATAATTCTGGTCTCCTTTGAAGGATCAGAAGCTAAGGAATATAAATCCATAAATTAAGAGATTTATTTTATCATTACAGACTAAATGGAGATGCAATAAAGAAAACTAAGATATTTTCATCCTCTTCTGGTAAAAATAGCTATATTTTAATGCAATAAACCATCATAAGAAAGCTTATAATGCAAATGAATATCTTCTAATACACCTGAAGTGCAATTGTAACTGTAAATTTGATGAAAATAAACTAAAATACAACAGTTATCATACAGTATTTTTAAAATATACCAGGCAAATGTCCATATTTTGACAATATTTACTGTTTAAATGTTGACTTTTATTGGGAGTTATCTTTAAAACACTATTTATGTCCATACAACCACGTTCCAACATAACATTGAAATATTGAAAAAAAAACGAAGAAAGAAACGAAGAAAAGTGAATATTCATCAACATTCCTGTCACCAAAAGCACACCACTGTAGCTTCAGAACGGAACATCACATGGGGGATGGGATGGGGCGGCATCAATCGATCCAGTTTGAGCAGACCTTTCATTTGATACCCTGCATGTCTATGTAGCTCCTACGGGTTGGCCACCAAATGGCGAAAAAGACCTTGTGTTCCAAAGCTGCACTTCTTATTTATAAACGGTGTGTATGTACCATATACAGTCTTTGGTACGTACGCGAGAAACATGCGTACGCCACTTCCCAAGCAAAGGCTTTGATCTATAAAAAACAAACTTGACGGGAGAATGTGCGGTCCTGTAGGTAAACTCTGAGGCATGCATACGCACATAAAGAGGAGAAATGAGAAATGGTGACTCACATGGCAGAAGAATGAAACAGTTTGAAATGAATTGGCCTACTATTGTGTAAAATAAATGGAAATATTACCTCTGAGTATTAAAGGCTTAAAGCCTTTCTGAATAAACAAACACATTTGATTGATTTTCCCTGAAGTGTGCAAAAAACATAATTTAAGATCATTTGCAGCGCACAAAAAGAAACAGATTTAGGATCATAAACACAAACTGAGATTTCTGTTTCTGCAAAAGGACACCTCAAATATGATGTACAGTTTAATCGGGATTCATATTAATTAATACTTGCATGCAGTGCAATTTATTCTCATAAATAAGGTGAACAGGAGGGCAAATTACATTTAAATTGATGCCCTTTTCATGCGTCAGTCGAGCAAGTAGGAGTGCATAGTTTCATGCACTAGGCCTTCGGGGGCCCTATTCAAAATTTAGTTGGAGGCCCCTCTGACAGTCGGGCGTTGTCATTATGTATGATACAGAAACATCTCTTGTTTTTGAATAAGACCCGATGAATCTTTCTTATGTTTATAAACCTGCCATGTTTGTTTAGCACAGGAAACATATGATACCACCAGTGCTACTGAGCTTAATGGCAGTTCAGTTCAGTAGATACTGATGAACTTAGTGCTGAATAAAAAGACTGATAAATTGATATTGACTGACCACAGCTTAAATCTTTAATAACAGCCAAACAAGAGTTTAAGAGACAAAAACTACAAAACAGTTGATAGCATAATTATCTCAACCCGCTTCTTTATGAGTGATCTAAACGTGTAATGTAGGGCTGTCCCCGACTAAGGATTTACATAGTTGAATCAGAATTGTCAAGTCCTACCTATCGTCGACTAATAGTTGAATCATGTGCGTTTTTGTGCGCGGCGATTGCGGGGGGTATACACGGTAGCTCCACTTTAACCTTGAGAAGCTGCAGAGCTGCAGTCTCTATTCATTCAACTTACACTGTAAATTTCCAGCTAAACTGAGGCTTTTTGAAGACACTTTTTTTCTCTCTCTCGCTCTCGCTCACCTGTCATTCACCAGTCTTGTGTGTGAGATTTGCGTGCATGCCAGCGAGTGTTCCTCTTCCGCCACCACACACACGCTACGCCTACACATGCGCACTGACGACCCAGGGTTCGGAGTTATAATTTAAGATTTATTTACACACTTTTAAAACATTTATTGGAAGTTTTTTTTCTTTCCACATGTTTATTTACAGCATTAAACGTTCAAATGTGTATTGTAATCGGCTAGATATTAATTTATTGGGAGAAAACTGTTAGATCTATGTAAAGTCAGACGTTGAGCACTCCCATATCGCATAAATGGCATGATCGTTGTTTCACTGCGATGCTTCGACTGTGAGATTGACAGTCGCATCAGGCTCCGCCCATCGGAGCATCTAATCAACTATTTGGGGTCAGCCCTAGTAGTTTTAACCGTACTTTCTTTGTTTCAGAGGGCACCTCTGTAAATGTTTCACTGTATAAATAAAGAAAAAGACCATAAGAAACCATAACTAGGCATGGCAGGTCAACATGAGTTGTTTCCCTTTTTCTAAAGACGTTGAGCACCTCCATATCGCCTAAATGGCATGATCCTTGTTTCGCTGCGAAGCTTCCACTGTGAGATTGACAGTTGAATCAGGCTCTGCCCATCGAAGCATCGAATCTTCGACTATTTGGGGTCAGCCCTAATGTAATGATAAAAAAGACTTTTAGTGTCTGAGTGTCTTTTTGGAAAAGTCAAAATGTCTCTGCCAACCTGTGTTGGTTTTATGCTGCATTCCATTTACCTCGGAGCTCGGAGCAGGGAATGACGTCACACCCGAGTTGACGGCGTTCCAGTTAACAAGTCGGAAAACCTGGCTCGGCCAGCTGTTTGTTTACAACTAGCCAGCTTAGCTATTGATACGCCAGTTGATTAAAAAAACGCATTGTGCGGTATTTACTCACACTAAACACTGTAGCAACACGTCCACAGACAGCTGTTGGACAGCACTTTGTGTTCGAACATTTATATCAGTCACAAGTACACAGAAGTGCTAATAAACAGTATAAACTACAGCTTTCACTAACCCCGACAGCCATCTTGGATCACGAACGAAATTTTGACCGTTGAACTCGGAAATTCTGACTTCCCATGTCAACTGGAACGCACCATTACCGCTCACCACATCAATGTGTAACTGCTCATTAAGGACTAATGGCCAGTCAGCTGGATCCACTGGAGGAGTAGAAACTGGAGAGACAGGTGTGGTGGTGCCACGATGGTACTGCTCTCCACTTCAGCAGGCACAGGTAGACCTATGAGGAAGAGTAACAAAAAAATTAGTAATTTTAGTAAATTGACATGTTCATATACTGAGTGTTGATAGAGGTGAATAATTGTTTAGTTATTGTTGATGTAGGCCTAAACTTAGCAGCATTGTCAGCTTCTTGGATGATACCAATGATGGAGGTAGAGGTGGAGGCTGATGGACCTGCTATGAAATAATGAAAATAATTACATAAATAAACTAAATTGAAATGACTTGTGCTCTTAGCTTAGATCTGAAAGATCTTATAATGCAAGACAATCTGCAATAGTTTGATGTTGTCTCCTTTTAAAAAGTGACTTTAGATGTCTTTTCAACACTGGCAACTTCACGGCTCCATGATGTTGGTCCAGAATCAGTCCTTAGAAACAGCTACTATACACTCCCTACCTGACAGATTTGATTTATAATGAAAGAACAGGGCATCTCTATGGGTTTAACTCAAACACATAACCTACCAGCAGTGACATGACCATATTCACTGATCTGTGTTTTTTCTGATAAATGCTTTATAACATCAGATGTGAAAAGCTCAGCTCCAAGGACACTGTTCTTTAGAAAAAAGAGGCTTAATTTGAAGACTCATGTCCTAATAACACTATTAACTTAATCAACTGACTTTTAATCGCGGTTAGCATGTTAGCAAGCTAAAGCATTAGTGATGTGTGTCCCTCTGTATCGAGGCTTCGAAGCGCGTGTTGAGTAATCCAGGGTGATTTTTGTGAAGCGCGTATCGAGGTTTGTGTTGGTGACGTATGTGGTGACGTTCGAAGCCTCGCGAGCCGGCCGTACCACGTGACTGATTCAGGAAATGGTTCGTGGGTTTGGTGTGTGATTCCAAAGGAGCAGCAAAAGACAATGGACCCTCATTAACATTTTCTGGACTTTTTAATTTTATTTCGGATTTTAATTGAACACAATTAGATTGTATCTAAAGATTATTTTATCAAAAAATGTGATGAAACAGGACATTTTTAGTTCAGTTAGACTTGCGGCAGCCAGAAGATTTTTTTTGACATAGTGGTTTTTGTAAGAATAA